AAGGGGAAATTATAGTTTAGATGTGGGATAGGATACCTTTGGCTGGGTGATCTTACCACTGAAGGTGTGCTTGGGCCAATATGCATGAGTGTATGGTTCAAAAGAGCCTTTGGTTTTAATAGGGCTGATATGGAGGTTGGGTGGCAAATGATCATGCTAGAATGAAAATAACCTATGATTATGGAAAAGTTTATGTTTGAATATGCTAAACAGGTGTTTTGACATATATGAGTTTTACTTGCTTATAGTTGTGCACGTTAATTAATAGTTATGAATTATTCTATTATTGAAATGTTTATCTCACCTTGTGATCATATTTTACACGTAAGGGCTCTAATAGGGGCAAAAGGAAGGAAAGGACTATCGAGAATTGAAGAGCTTCATTTGTATAGCTTTTCCCATTATGTTTTGGTATTATAACAAATGGCTTATGATTTCTATGACAACTTAAGATCACTCATTGTTTTGTATTCACTTGCATGAGAATTATGACGTATGGGTGTGTATCTTGACTTAAAATGATATATCTATATTGAAACTGTTGTGAGAGGTTGAGATATTAGTGCAAATGACATGTTTGTGTTGTTTATGCATTGGATTGGTCAAAATGATATTTATGGTGAATTATAGATACCCTTTTGAATTCATTGTGGAATTGAGATTTTGGTGTTAATTTGTGTTTGGATTGTTGTTAAAGTCTTGTAATTTCTCTATTAGGTTATTTGTGGTCTATTTGAGTTGGTCCAAGTGATTCTATAACTTTTGGCACCAGTTTGTGGGTTATAGACACTTTTGTATATGTTTTGAATAAAAACAAACAAACCAAATTGGGTTCAGGTATTCAACTTTTGAATGGATAAATGTTTAGGTATGTGGTTAGTACCAATAGCTAGAGGGCTCAAAAAGCTACGTGTGAATACTTGAATCACTAAAATCAAAGGTCGGATGGCAAAACGACATATTCTAAAAGTTAGCTAGAGGAACTGTCATAACAGGTGCTGTCATGACCCCAAAAGTACATCGTGGCACACGACAAGTGCACTACAACATACTATATAAAGGGGAAAAAGTTTTCTTTATGCCATCCACTGCGATAAGTAACACTTGTGCCACAGCAGATGGGACCTTTTCTGGATATTTTCTAGATGTGTCCCTTGTAATTAAGTGACGATTCTGGTTTTTATGCTTATGCTACCTTATTTAACTTGCTTTAAATCATTGTTTGAGCTCAACTATTATTTTCAAATGGTTTTCTTATGATCCTAATATTTAAAATAGTAATTTCTAAACCATTGGGTTATGATGACTTTTACTTAAGGATTTTAATTAATCTTGGTTATCACAACAATGTCATTAGAGTGTTCTTTTGGTAATATCAAAGCAGACATTACACCCACATCTAGAGAGGAACATTTACTTAAATTTTATTAACCTCTTTGTCATAAACTCCTTTTACTTGATTGTTGATCAATTAGGCTTGATGGAATGGACATTTCCTCACTATTTCTTGCTCTTTATTGGCCTCAACTTCATTTTTCTCCTCCTAAACCAAATATGAAATTTTAACTGTGGCATCTCCTTCGCACTTTTATGGTGGTATTTTCATCTCAATCTCCTTAATATTCTCCTCTTCATCATCCCTACATAAAGAAGCATTAATAGCACTAGAAGAAGCTTGAAAAGACAAATTATTATGCAAGGAATCATTAAGTTTGGCCTTAGCTTCCCACTTTCTTTGAGCATTCCCACAAGTTTCACCCACTTTCTTATGATTTCTTAGAGTTATGGCATTAATAGTTAACTGTGTTACTTGAAAGTATAAGTTCTCATGCATTACATGAATTAACAAGATTAGTAAGAATACTCATTTGAAAAGAAAAGGCATTAACTTTGTTACTCAAATTCTCATATTTTTCCCTAATATTATCAAACATTCCCTTACATATGGAGTTCATATAAATCATTTGTTTAGCTAAAAGTTGCATATCATTAAAATTACTAAAAGGAGATTCAATAGGGACAATCTGCATATTAGAGTTTGAGTTAAAGGCATTACCTCTTTGTTGATAAGAGTTAGAATTACCACCTTATAGGAAATTAGTGTCTCAGCCAAAAGCATTTGAAAATGCACCTCTTGATTGAGTCTCTTACAAAACTCACTTGAGTTAGCATAGGAAAAATTGAGATGATTCCTCCAAGAAGAGTTGTGTGTATCTAAAATTCCCTTGATTCCCTCTCCTATTAAACATAGCATTAACTCGAATATGCTCAAACTTAATAAGGCAATTAGACTCGATATGCATGGGAGAATCACAACATGTGCATGAATAAGGAACTAGAGCGTGAGCTTATGTAATGAACTTGATTCAATTGTGGAGCCAACATCTTACCAATTTTTATGGCCAAGAGCTCTAGTTGATTGTCATCCAATATGCTTAAGACCAAATTGAATTCCTTATCACTTATACTATATTGAGCACCATTGGTAGCCATTTTGTCTATTAATTCTAAAGCCTTAATAGGCATCAAGTCCATTAGTAAAACCCCAATAGTTGTATTTATATTGACCTTATCCTTTTCAACAAGTCTCTCATAGAAAAATTGTACAAGGTTCTCACTAAAAATTTGATTATGTGTGCACTTAGTAAGTCTTCGTCTGATATTCATAAAAAGACTCATCAAAACCTTGTTCAATTATTCCCAAAAAATCATACAAGTTAATCAATAGCTTTGGAGAATCAGAATTTCCTCTAGATGACCTTGTAAGCTTCTAATACTCTTATAAAGCTTTGTTCATGAGAAAGTGCCAAATAAAATGTCTCCGTATGTAGATGTAAACTATAAGGAAGACTTGAAACCTTTTGTCACACAGCCATCTGTGGAAACCTACTCTGTAATTCTTCTCCATGCATGGACAACTTTAACCTTCATCTTTCACTCATACATGAACAACCATATGGAGAAGGGAGATTCGACCTTCACTTGCACATGGACATAATATAAACTAGCACGAAGATGAAGCCCAAACACATGGCTACCTCTGATTTAATATTTAAATTAAGTTAAAATAAGATATTAGCATATCAGATAAGATTTAGATGTGATATAAACATATTTTAGGCTAAAGGTGGATGGAATAATTATAAATAAACCTTCTAGAAGCCTTTTAAAGAACCTAATCTCATATCTGAAAGTTATAAGGCAAAGTACAGAATCTAGAGGAATTCTTCTGTTGAGAGTTTTCCTTCTTCTATTTTCTTTTGATTTTGCCCATGTCTTTTATTTAAAATATTATTATCAACTTTATGAGTTATTTCTAATTTTGCTCTTTTTATTTATTTTTTTCATTTTTCTCATTGAACATTATTTCTTGCCTATGAGAAGTTTTATTTATTTACATTTATCTCTCTTACTTGAATTCCTTATTATATGGACGGTTGCTATATAATCTGTCTATAGGTTATTTGATGAACTGGGAGGTGAAGAATTAACTTAAACTTAGAGAGACAGATTCAACTAAATGAATTAGAGATAATTTAGGATATGTCGTGACTTTGATCATAGCTTAATGGTTTGTTTATAGTCTCAATAGGATTAGTGAGAGCTAATTCAATCATAGATAAATTCACCCTAATATATTGAGAGGAAATTAGGATACCTTAGGAATGATTGTCACTAAAAATAAAGGAAAAAATAAATAATTATTAGAATAAGCCATTCTAATATGTGAATCCTGATCCCTATTACTTGTATGATAGATTTAGTTCATAGTTTATTATTACTATTATTTATTAACATTATTTATTAATTATTAAATTTATTTTTTTAAGCTATTCATTTATATAAAATGACAAAGTTACTACTTTCCTCTAGATTTGACTCTTAGAATACTCTAGGAACTATTACTTTATAGTATTAAACCATTTATTTTAATGATTATTACAAAGCAATAGAAAGTGGTTTGTTACTTATATTAATCAATATTATAATTATTAATTGGCAAAACCTCTAAAAGCATGAAGAACAAGAGAAGACTTAGACTTAATAAGTGTATTTATTTATTTCCTTTCTTAGATATCAATGTGAAAACTATTAAGAGGAAAAGCATGAGTTGAATGGTAAGAATGCATCACATTAGAACATTTCATTAGCTTATAAGTCCAAGAACCTCATTGTCAAACATTTAGAATGCATTTGAGCTTTAGAGTCTAATTCATGCTTAACCTAGTATAGGCACATGTATGAATTATCCATCCCTAATACATCTTAGGACATAGTGGATCCAATTTAATATTGATTTAAAATTGTTACTCTTTTGAATTAGACTTTAGAAGCTTTGTCTAACATTTTAAGTCAATTCACATGTGTCCTAAACTAGACGCATACATGTTTGAGCCTTCAGTGAAGGCAAATGTTCTAAGTTTGGCTAAAACATGCTTCTCTCAAGTTTGAGCACATGCTTGAATATTTAAGGTCTGATGTTACAAGAGGAACTTAAAAATAAGCAAGTCAAGGGATCCTGTAATAACCCATGAATTTAAGTAAAATTTTAAATATATATAATGATAAGTTTTAATTGTAATTGTAAAAATATATATATATATATATATACAAACAAAGAACGAAAGAAGAAATATTGATCTAATAAAAGTACAATGATCTTAAATTTTAAATTAGATAAATTTCCTTCAAATTAATATTTTAGTTTTATGACAAATAAGAAGTAGTGGCCTGATTGAATTTATATTAGTTATTTATATGAAAGTCTAGAGTTTAAATTTTGCTTAAATTAAATGTTAGTTTCATCTTTATGGGAAATTATTGAATGTGCATGTGTCTCTTGCAAAAAAAATATATATATATATATATATATAATAATAATAAAATAAAGTAAAATAAAATATTATAATAGTAATAAAATCTGATGGGGTCCTTTTCGGTAATTTTTCCCACAAGCTTTAGATTATATTTTCTCTTCTTGTTCTCTGTCATTTGGCCGACTTCACAGGGGAAGAGGATCGCGATTGTTCTTCACCGCCTTTCTCCTATTCCCCGTCGCACATTTCTCTCCCATCGCCGTCAGCTCGTCCGCCGCTCTTCTTTCCGTCCTCGTTCGTCGGCTACAACGAACTGGGTTACTGGATTCTTTAGTTTTCCTCCTCTGTTCACATCGCTCTTCCCTCTGCTGTCCATCACCGAATATTCTTTCTTCTCCCCTGTTGGAGTCGTGTAGCAAGTTCTGTCATTTTATGTTGTGGAAGCTGGTTTATGGGTGCAAAATGTTCGATCTGTTGGTCTCTCCACTTTCCCCTGTAACGTCGCTGCTTTTCTTCTTCTTCGTCCTAGTTTAAATTCCATCGCCGAACGTGTGTAGCTGGGAAAAGCATAGATTTTTCTTCTTCTTCGTTGCTCTACTGGACGTGGCAGATCTGGTTCATGATTGCAGACTGTTCGACCCACTGGTACTTCCATTTTCCCCTGTCATGCTTCTCTTTTGTTTCTTTCCGGTTTAAGTGCTGCCGTCGAGTTTTTGTGTGTCTGGGAAGCATTAAATTTTCTCTCTTTTTCGTTGCTCTGCTGATGAATAAATTTAACCTCTTGTTTTTCCTCGTTTGATTCTCTTTATTTGTGATTAACAGTTGCGGATCTAAATGTTTATTTTGGTTATTGTTGTGCGTGACTGAGGCGGCAGCTGGGATTTAGTTAAGCTGTAACTTGTATATAGAATTAAATTGTTGATAGATAATTTCACTTATATTTGTGTTGGATTTCTGTAAGTAGAAGGGATTAAAGTTAATTTTCTTTAGTTTAAATGGCTTGTGTAGAAAGAATGAGGATGGAAAGTTTAAATATTGATGATAAAAATTTTGGAAAGGAAAAATTGAAAGGAAAGAATCTTAGTATTTTAGTTAGGTATGGGTGCCACTAAAGTGTTTGATAAAATGTGCCAAAGAGGGAATTGATGTGATTATGATTGTTTGAGTTTTATATTGATATACAAACATAAATGTTGTTTGGAGATATATGTAGAGATAGTGTGGCAAGTCCAACGGAATAAATAATGAAGTCTAGAAGTATGCATACAGGGAGAGGATGAAATCTTTCATGTTTGGTTTGCTTGATAATATGATCTATGTTCTTGCATTGAAACTCATGTGTTCTTTCTAAGCAAGATTGATTAATAATAATAATAATAATAATAGTAGAATTTGTCTTCGTTGTAATTGTACTAGGTGAAGGAAGTGAACTAAGATTCTCCTTTCTTGGTAACTTTTGCGAATATGCAAACAGATTAATGTTAAGGAATCCCTTTCTACTTCATAAATGATGGTGATTGTAGAGTTTTGTAATAAAATAAAATATATGTATTATATAATATTTGTACATTTTTACAAAAGAGGTGGAGTAAAAATGTTAATAGTGTTGCTTTGGGTATTAGGGAATCTTAGAATGAAAGTTTCACGAAAGAGGCCATTTGAAATAAGTAGCATTACGTGGGAGCACACCAGGTAAGTGGATAGCGTCCCAACTGATATTTTATCGAAATCTCTTTTATTTGAATATTACATTTTTATGCAAGTTATTTTTACGACAACAATGTGATTATGAGACATTTTTTTGATTAAATTATTTTATTTTGTGAAATTATTTTACCAAAATTGATCATTTTAGTTAATCAGTAAATACAAGTTTGAATTTTAATTGTGGGATTTCAATTTGAAAATTATTGAATTGATACGGAAAAATGGTTCATGCGAGTTCGAAGTTGAAAGTTTTTTTTTTATAAATGCAAGCATGAGCATTGGATATGAAATTTGATTCTGGTAAGTTTTAATGCTTAAAAGTATTCATGCGAGTTTGATTTTGAGAATGAGAACTGTATCTTGAAAGTGATGATTTTCTCGCATGATTGAAAAATGGTTTTCAAAAGGGACTTTATATAGAACACTGGTCGCTAACGGCAGTTCCGTTAGTCCTTGGCGCGCCATGGTACACCCAACTAGCAGGGTGTTTATAGGAGGTGCTAGCCCCGTGCGATGGCCAACGCACGTGGAACGGAGGGATGGTAATTCGTGAGCATAGTACTCACGTTTGTTTTGTGGCTTCAAGCCGCGTTTGGTTAGCAATACCCTCGTGGACTGTGTGTCCACGTTTGTTTCGTGGCTTCGGCTGCGTTTGGTTAGTTACCCTCGTGGATTGTGTGTCCACGTTTGTATTCGTGGCATAAGCCGCGTTCGGTTATTTACCTTCGTGGACTGTGTGTCCACGTTTGTTAATTGTTCTGATAAGTCCCTATATTTATGAATCTAATCGTTTGAAGATTTCATATTCTATTGGTTTTTATTTAGCAATTTGTTTATAAATATTTATTTCATTTATGTTCTTTCTAAAAATTAAGTGATACTACCATTTTATATGATAGTTTAATGATTTGAGATTTTATTTGAAATTTATAAAGCCATTTTATTATGAAGTTATAAAATTTTTACGCAAATTTTGTCTATTTAAGTTACATAACTATTTCAAACTTTTCATTTTATTTATGTTCAATTATTTATTGTTGGGACGTTATTCACTGGAAAAATATTTTATTTGGTCTCAGATATCCAAGCTGATTTCGTACTCCCTGCTGATCTCTGATGGGCTCATTGTTGAATTGACTAGAAGATTACTTTTGAGATATCATCTCATTCAAGTAAAATTCAAAAGCCCATATAGTATCTTTTGAAAGTTCGATTTAGAGTGCTCCACATTAACTATAGTTAGGGTCCTGCCTCTTTTTGTTATGTTAATTGTTTGCTGTTGAGTAGCAAAGCTTTATATTATTGGATATATGTTGTATATTTTCTGTTGAAGAGATTTTGGAGGATCCTGCCCTTAGGGGAGGGTTTGCAGAAATTTTGAAAAAAAAAATGATATTTTGACTTTAGGTAAAAAAAAATCTGGATACTTTAATTCAGAACTTTTCTTAATTAAACTTTAGGGATGTGAATTTGTATATATATATATATATATCTTATGTTATTCAATGTAAAAATTTTAGGATGTGACAGATTGGTATCAGAGCTTAGGTTTCCTATAGTTATGTAGAGCGAGTGATCTTCGGTGGGGTCTCAATTATAATTATGAACCCGGGCATAATCATAATTGAGGCATCATTGAAGGCCTTTTAGGAGTCTTGTTGTGTCTTTTTTTTTTTAGTAGTCATGTCTATTCCATATGAGTTCTATCTACTAGATTGACTATATCTTATGTTTTCCTTGTGTAGTGATATTGTATCTTAAATGCTGAGTATCAAGTAGAAGGACATGTAGCAAGATAGTTTCTAATAGAGTTTGTCATTAATATAGAACATGCTATTAATTTTGAAGCTCATATTCTTCTGTATGTTATAAATTCTATTGAGCTTATTGATTTTGTGATTTTATTTTAGAGATCAAGGTACATTTAAGATCCAAGTGCCATAGAGGCATAATCAAAGTGGTAAAGCTCTAAGACTCTTAATAGAGGTTTATTTTGAAAGTGCAAAAGGATCCCTTCTCAAACTAAATATAAAAATACAACATTTACTCAAAAAAAAAGAAGAAAGAAAAAGAAAAGAAAAAAAAGAGAAAAAAAAAGGGGGTGTGTTACATCTCGACTCTAGCTTTTCCCTTGTCTTATGGTTGGCCAAATGGGTGGTGGTTATGTCAAAGTTTTATCTTCCTTTGTTGCGTTAATGTGGGTGTTATTTATCTAAATTGTTATTTTATCCTTTCTGCCTTGAATGTCATTGTTGTGGGTGGTGTTTGGATGTGTGAATTGGTCTCTGTTCTTTCTATTTGCTCGTATAGCTTCATCTGGATAAGGTAAGGAATGAGGTGGACAACTAAGTGAGGAAAAAGAAGGAAGGAAGGAGCTTTTAAAAAGTATTATTATCCAAAATAATATGTATTACTTGAGTCCTCCTCTATGATTATATACTTATATATGCTAAGAATTGGAGTTTAGGAACTCTTGTGATTTTATGTTAATGGTTGGAGGTTATTTCTTGACTTATATACTGAGAATTATAAGTTAATTTATAGTTTGGTTTTTGAGCTGCATGCCAAATGTTTGAGGAAATAAGTAAGAGAAGAATATTTTATCTATTAAGACAATTAAGTGTGATAAAGGTATTACTAAATATCTTAAGAAATAAGAGTTAACTATTTTCTATGATGAAGCTACAAAAATTAAAGAATTTTCTTAAAAACTCATAGATATATATTGGCAAGTATTAAGGAAAAAAAAATCGTAAAGATTGTTGATTTAACTTGAATCTTGAAGTGCATAAAAAAAAAGGGAATAGAAAATGGAAGAAAGAACTCATTATGCTTAATGAGCTTGATTACCTTGGAATTAAAGTTGTTATGAGAATGGTGAGTGTAGGATAAAAGATTGTATGTGTTTTGAATGTAGAATATTTTATAAATCCTTGAACTTGGTTTGAAAAGCTGTCATGTAACAGCTTTGCAACTTTTATGTTAGATCTAGTATTTTATGATTTTTCTAGAATAAATGGAATCCAATGATTTTGAAATTTATAATAGATAGTGACCGAATATATTTTTCTAAGGAATCCTAATTTGTTCTTGTTGGACCTTCCTAGCTCAAGTTATGGTTCCTAGCTCAAGTTATGGTTATCTAAAGTTTAGGATCAATTATATGTTCATAACATGCTAAACTAGATGAAGACGAATTAAGGTTTATTATTCTTAACCAATTACATTGGTCACTTATATGATGTTTTGAAAATTCCAAGTGACTTGAAATGATTTTTGACGGTGAGTGGTGGAGACAGAGCAAGTGGGTAAAATAACACAGGATATGTGAATAAGAGCAAGAGTTGTAATGCTTTTCATTAAATGGATATGATATTTAGATTATTCTTTGATAAGTTTATGATGGTATAGGTTGATGGGATTTTGATATAAAAAAAAATTGATTGATCAAATATCATATTGAAAGAATGATATGAGGAAGGGCATAATAATGAGTTTATTCCCATGTTCTTTGGGTTGTGTAGAAGTTAAGCCAAATTATTAGGAATCGGTATAATTGTAACGGTGATCAGAGGAGTTTGCAGAATTGCATGGAGTTTCATCATCTTAACAATGAATTAAGAACTATAAGTTACCTTATGCTTTTGATAAACCTTTCACGGAACTTTAGGTACTATTACAAATTATGGACCAATATGAAAGAACAATTTGAGTTTTAAATGTTATGCTAAGACCTTATATTTTTGCTCTTAGTGGAAGTTAGAGTAATGTCTTGAATTTAGTGAAAAGGATGTGTAATAGGAGATCAAGCTAGTATTTATAATTTTAGAAAATATTTATATGACTCTTCTCATGTGATTGGGACTCAAGGGATTTAGATAGATCTAGATTTAACATATGAAGAAAATTTTGTTAATATTCTATATAAGTAAAGAAGTTACAATGGAAAGAAGTTGTTTTGGTGAGGGTGTTATAGTGCAACCATTTTCAAGGGGTGGCTACTAGAAAAGTTGAAAGTGATATGCATGGTAAATATTTGCATTTATTCCAAGATAGAGATTGGCTTATGATTAAACTCGGAGGACCGAATTTTTAAAGGGGGGAAGAATGTAATAACCCATGAATTTAAGTAAAATTTTAAATATATATAATGATAAGTTTTAATTGTAATTGTAAATATATATATATATATATATACAAACAAAGAACGAAACAAGAAATATTGATCTAATAAAAGTACAATGATCTTAAATTTTAAATTAGATAAATTTCCTTCAAATTAATATTTTAGTTTTATGACAAATAAGAAGTAGTGGCCTGATTGAATTTATATTAGTTATTTATATGAAAGTCTAGAGTTTAAATTTTGCTTAAATTAAATGTTAGTTTCATCTTTATGGGAAATTATTGAATGTGCATGTGTCTCTTGCAAAAAATATATATATATATATATATAATAATAATAAAATAAAGTAAAATAAAATATTATAATAGTAATAAAATCTGATGGGGTCCTTTTCGGTAATTTTTCCCACAAGCTTTAGATTATATTTTCTCTTCTTGTTCTCTGTCATTTGGCCGACTTCACAGGGGAAGAGGATCGCGATTGTTCTTCACCGCCTTTCTCCTATTCCCCGTCGCACATTTCTCTCCCATCGCCGTCAGCTCGTCCGCCGCTCTTCTTTCCGTCCTCGTTCGTCGGCTACAACGAACTGGGTTACTGGATTCTTTAGTTTTCCTCCTCTGTTCATATCGCTCTTCCCTCTGCTGTCCATCACCGAATATTCTTTCTTCTCCCCTGTTGGAGTCATGTAGCAAGTTCTGTCATTTTATGTTGTGGAAGCTGGTTTATGGGTGCAAAATGTTCGATCTGTTGGTCTCTCCACTTTCCCCTGTAACGTCGCTGCTTTTCTTCTTCTTCGTCCTAGTTTAAATTCCATCGCCGAACGTGTGTAGCTGGGAGAAGCATAGATTTTTTCTTCTTCATTGCTCTACTGGACGTGGCAGATCTGGTTCATGATTGCAGACTGTTCGACCCACTGGTACTTCCATTTTCCCCTGTCATGCTTCTCTTTTGTTTCTTTCCGGTTTAAGTGCTGCCGTCGAGTTTTTGTGTGTCTGGGAAGCATTAAATTTTCTCTCTTTTTCGTTGCTCTGCTGATGAATAAATTTCACCTCTTGTTTTTCCTCGTTTGATTCTCTTTATTTGTGATTAACAGTTGCGGATCTAAATGTTTATTTTGGTTATTGTTGTGCGTGACTGAGGCGGCAGCTGGGATTTAGTTAAGCTGTAACTTGTATATAGAATTAAATTGTTGATAGATAATTTCACTTATATTTGTGTTGGATTTCTGTAAATAGAAGGGATTAAAGTTAATTTTCTTTAGTTTAAATGGCTTGTGTAGAAAGAATGAGGATGGAAAGTTTAAATATTGATGATAAAAATTTTGGAAAGGAAAAATTGAAAGGAAAGAATCTTAGTATTTTAGTTAGGTATGGGTGCCACTAAAGTGTTTGATAAAATGTGCCAAAGAGGGAATTGATGTGATTATGATTGTTTGAGTTTTATATTGATATACAAACATAAATGTTGTTTGGAGATATATGTAGAGATAGTGTGGCAAGTCCAATGGAATAAATAATGAAGTCTAGAAGTATGCATACAGGGAGAGGACGAAATCTTTCATGTTTGGTTTGCTTGATAATATGATCTATGTTCTTGCATTGAAACTCATGTGTTCTTTCTAAGCAAGATTGATTAATAATAATAATAATAATAATAGTAGAATTTGTCTTCGTTGTAATTGTACTAGGTGAAGGAAGTGAACTAAGATTCTCCTTTCTTGGTAACTTTTGCGAATATGCAAACAGATTAATGTTAAGGAATCCCTTTCTACTTCATAAATGATGGTGATTGTAGAGTTTTGTAATAAAATAAAATATATGTATTATATAATATTTGTACATTTTTACAGAAGAGGTGGAGTAAAAATGTTAATAGTGTTGCTTTGGGTATTAGGGAATCTTAGAATGAAAGTTTCACGAAAGAGGCCATTTGAAATAAGTAGCATTACGTGGGAGCACACCAAGTAAGTGGATAGCGTCCCAACTGATATTTTATCGAAATCTCTTTTATTTGAATATTACATTTTTATGCAAGTTATTTTTACGACAACAATGTGATTATGAGACATTTTTTTGATTAAATTATTTTATTTTGTGAAATTATTTTACCAAAATTGATCATTTTAGTTAATCAGTAAATACAAGTTTGAATTTTAATTGTAGGATTTCAATTTGAAAATTATTGAATTGATACGGAAAAATGGTTCATGCGAGTTCGAAGTTGAAAGTTTTTTTTTTATAAATGCAAGCATGAGCATTGGATATGAAATTTGATTCTGGTAAGTTTTAATGCTTAAAAGTATTCATGCGAGTTTGATTTTGAGAATGAGAACTGTATCTTGAAAGTGATGATTTTCTCGCATGATTGAAAAATGGTTTTCAAAAGGGACTTTATATAGAACACTGGTCGCTAACGACAGTTCCGTTAGTCCTTGGCGCGCCATGGTACACCCAGCTAGCAGGGTGTTTATAGGAGGTGCTAGCCCCGTGCGATAGCCAACGCACGTGGAACGGAGGGATGGTAATTCGTGAGCATAGTACTCACGTTTGTTTTGTGGCTTCAAGCCGCGTTTGGTTAGCAATACCCTCATGGACTATGTGTCCACGTTTGTTTCGTGGCTTCGGCTGCGTTTGGTTATTTACCCTCGTGGATTGTGTGTCCACGTTTGTATTCATGGCATAAGCCGCGTTCGGTTATTTACCTTCGTGGACTGTGTGTCCACGTTTGTTAATTGTTCTGATAAGTCCCTATATTTATGAATCTAATCGTTTGAAGATTTCATATTCTATTGGTTTTTATTTAGCAATTTGTTTATAAATATTTATTTCATTTATGTGCTTTCTAAAAATTAAGTAATACTACCATTTTATATGATAGTTTAATGATTTGAGATTTTATTTGAAATTTATAAAGCCATTTTATTATGAAATTATAAAATTTTTACGCAAATTTTGTCTATTTAAGTTACATAACTATTTCAAACTTTTCATTTTATTTATGTTCAATTATTTATTGTTGGGACGTTATTCACTGGAAAAATATTTTATTTGGTCTCAGATATCCAAGCTGATTTCGTACTCCCTGCTGATCTCTGATGGGCTCATTGTTGAATTGACTAGAAGATTACTTTTGAGATATCATCTCATTCAAGTAAAATTCGAAAGCCCATATAGTATCTTTTGAAAGTTCGATTTAGAGTGCTCCACATTAACTATAGTTAGGGTCCTGCCTCTTTTTGTTATGTTAATTGTTTGCTGTTGAGTAGCAAAGCTTTATATTATTGGATATATGTTGTAGATTTTCTGTTGAAGAGATTTTGGAGGATCCTGCCCTTAGGGGAGGGTTTGCAGAAATTTTGAAAAAAAAAATGATATTTTGACTTTAGGTAAAAAAAAAATCTGGATACTTTAATTCAGAACTTTTCTTAATTAAACTTTAGGGATGTGAATTTGTATATATATATATATATATATCTTATGTTATTCAATGTAAAAATTTTAGGATGTGACAGATCCTTTATTTCAAACAGAAAGAGTGACATCTTGATTGATCCTACAAGAAAATAAGAGCATCCTGGCTGTATTAGAGAAGTTAGGGGTATGATAGGCATAAAGGCCATCTTTGGTGCAACACCTGACATGACTAAAGAATGATCATTAAGGAGGATTTGGAGGCAATGCTGGCTACTATGAGGGTGAAGGCAAAAGCATCAACTTACAAACCCATTCTCCTGCCCCTCAACATAGTATAAAAGGGAGCTATTATGTTGTTGAGTGTCTATTGGAGGGCACTATAGGTCCTACCTTAGGTGATACCTGTGAGCTATATTTGAAGGATCTTGATAGACGTTTAGTAGCATGTGGCAGCATTCATAACTTGGGGCTAACTATCCACCACATGCTAATATAAAATAACTAAATGAAGATGGTGGTTGAGGAGTTTGTAGTTACTTATGCCATTATGCCACTTCTCACTAAAGAGGTCAAGATTAAGAAGACATTTATCCTTTATCCAAGGAGACTTGTTCACATGTTTGAAGTCAAGGTAAGTGTAATTATATTTTTTTTACTTGGATTTTTTACCTTTAAATATTTTTTATTGATTTAAAATTATTTTGCAGATAGCTCCCTCCAATCAAGTGGTTCCCTAACCTTAGCCCCAGCTATAGTTGACTTGGATGCAATAATATATTCTGATAGCATATGATAAAACCTTTAAGGTAATAATTTTTTCAATGGATGCAGTGGTTGTTAGGAAAAAGTATGTAGATGTCAAGGTTAAGAGAGGGGATTTTATGTGAATGCTGAATGATTATCAACTCACCTTATTGCAAAGGTAATTGTGGTTAATGTAAGTATCTTGTCTAAAATTAATATAATAAAACAATTCAGCTAATTTGCATCTAATATTATAGGTATATCCATCATAATTAGGTGTCACCAGGCAAAGATAACAAGTTTGGATTGCTTTTCTAAATTCACACTTAAGAGTTTAGAAACACTCCTGAGCTGAGACATGAATATATATATATATATATATATATCAAAGGTTCTCAAAAGGGAAGGAATGCTATGTTACACCATATATCCCCAAGTAAGAAAAACTTTACATTTCATTATAATTCAAATTTAAATTTGCTTTCTTTAACTCCCATTAATTTTTTTCTGCAGTGGCCATGTAATGTTTGCCTTGACATTACCAGAATAACACTCTTACATGCTGTTATGATAACTAGGATTAAATAAAATTTCAAGTTTAAGTAAAAGTTATCACAACCAAGAGTTTAAAATAAAATAAGCTAAAATAATGAGATCCCTAGAAAACCCTTTTTAAAATATTGTTTGAGTCAAACTATAGTTGAACATTAGTTAAATATAAATACAAAAGCATGAAAATCAAATAGCCTCTGAAACAAGTTGAAACAAGCCATTTCTCAAAAAAATTTGGCCTGTCTGCCGCAGCACAAGCCACGCCTAGTGCAGCAGATGTCATAAAGGGAAGAGTCCCTCAGGAGGCACTTGCACCGCGGCACAACTACCATGCGCTGCAGCACACGCCTACTATCATGACAGTAGACAGCACTTCGAACTTTCAAGGTGTGACATTTCGCCATCTGACGTCCTATTTGAGTGGTTTAAGTATCCACACAAACCTCTTTGAGCTCTCTAGCTAATGGCACTAATCTTACAATCAAATAATTATCCATTAAAAAGATGAACGTCTAAATTCAAAATGATTTATTTCTACCTCAAAACATACATAAAGGTGTCCAACTCACAATGCCAAATGCCATTAGCCCTAAAGACACTTTGATCACCTCAAATAGACCACCCACAACATAACAAAACAATCATATCACACAATTAAGCATTCACACTCAAAATGACCATTAAACCCCCATTTAGCAACAACTCAAAGGGTAGATAAAATTTATCACACATATCAATTTAGTCATTTTGGCACATAAATCATTTCAAATATATCACTTAATGTGCCAAAATGACTAAATTGATATGTGTGATAAATTTTATCTACCCTTTTGGCACATAAATCATTTCAAATAAAATTTAGCCAAAATAATGTCATGATCCTAGGTTGGCATAATATTATAATAATATTCATTACAAACCTAGAAGAGCAAAGAGAAGAGCTATACAACAATGCTCTTCACTGTTTAATCATCCCTTCCTTTCCCTTACCCCTACCGGAGCTCTCACCTATAAAATGTAACCACGGGGTGAGATAAACATCTCAGTAACAGAATAATTTACTACTCTTAACTAACATGCACAACAATAAGAGAGTAAAGCTATTAAACTCTAAAATATAATTTTAGTATATTATAACATACTCTTTTCCATGAACACAAATCATTTATCACTAGTATGATCATTCTTCCATCCAAGCCTCCATATTACTCTGACTGAAACCATAGGCTTTTGAACCAAGTACACCTTCACAATGGTCCAAGCTTACCTTTGGTGGTAGGATCACCTGGCCAAAAGCATCCTATCCCACTTCTGAACTATGGTTTCCCCCTATTGTACATGAATCGAGGTGTCGTTACTCTAATATTGCATCACTGATGCTAAGAAGCATAACTCTCCAACATCGTATCCCACATGAATACTAAGGAGAAAATCTCCAACAACGTGCCTTATTAGACACTAAGGAGATACATGACATATAGACTTTCACTACTCCTTCCTACAAGCAAACTTCTATCCCCTAACATGATCATGCTCACATTCATCATATATATCACATATACATTTCAAATTTCTCAACCAGTCCATATAAATTTTCACCATTCTTATCGTTTGTAAATAGTTTTTTATGCATAAAACCATATTTCATAATATATAAGGTTATCTAATCTCGAGTAATAAATTTAACATATCTACTCACAGATGGTTAAACAATATAATCAAATAGAGTTAATTATTTTGTTACCTCAACCCTTTATCACACAAAAGGGTTACTGTGATTTAACGTTAGCTCTACACAATTTATATTCATGATAAGCTTGAGCAATACTCAATCTACATAATCAAGTGACAATCATCAATTATCACTCAAGATAAACCCTAAATTTTCTAGGTTCTAAGTGTCCATAACACCCAAATTTCTTATCTAACCACACCGACCATTTTAAAACACTCTAACCATCCTATTAAACATTTCAACACACTAAATTCATCATCTAATTCTTCACATTGTCTTAAAACCTTCATATTATACCTAGGATTTGTCTAAACCCTCAACAAAAATTTCAATTCACCATAAAAATCATAAACTTAAGGTTAGAGGATTGATTTAACTCCCTAAGATCTTAAATAAACTAATGGGTTTGGTCAAAACTCAAAGGAACTAAAATCAAAGCCCTCATTGTCCCACCAGTCTAGATTTTTGCATAAAGAGGGAGAAGAAAAAATGTGGAACTTACCCAATAATGATTCAAGCTTAAAATACTCCTAATGTGGCCTAAGGATCGTGCCCTAATAGACCCTAGTTGATTTCCGTCGCCTTCTCACAATATCTCTATTTCTTTCTCTAATTTTCAGTCTATTTTTGCGTTTGATAAGTACTGATTTTGCACGTGCACTCTGGCACATTGACACGTCCGCCGCAGCACATGGCACAGAATATCACACAACAATTTAAACTCCCTTTCGTGCCATGGCCTATTTAAACATCGACCTAGCCTTCTCCTAAAGCTATCTAAGAATTTAAAAACTATATTAGTCTCTCATAAACCTCATTAATTAATAATTTATCTAAAATGACCAAATTACCCTTAGAAATATTGACAATTCCTAATTGAAAAACCTAATATGTTACAGGCCACTAGCAATTGGCACTCCTTATTAAAGAATTAGGCTAGGACACAATAGGGGATAAATTGGGTGTTCTTAAAATTTTTTTAAAAACTTTTCCTAACTAAAAAGATGATGCGAAGTTTAAAATAAATTATGTACAAATTGGTAAGTAAGAAATGAGTTTTTGAATGAAAAGAAGAATAGACACAAATGATCTATTCTAGTTCAGCCAATCACTCAACCTACTCTAGTCCTCAAGATCACACTTGAAAATGAGTGTACATAGGCACTTTGCCTCACTATTATGTGAAACATACTTGGGAAACTTCTAAATTAAGCTTGAATAGCTTGTTTAGTGCCAAGGCTCACTTTAAGTCAAATTGAAAGGCTAATGAGTGTTTTATTCATTCAAGTGTGGACTCAATAGAATCCAAATGTGGACTACTACTTAGGCATACTTCAAGATAACACTTAGGATTAATCAAGCATGGATAAAAACATCATCCAAATATAAATCAAATTACAAAAGCTTATCTAAGATATTTCTCCATACTAACCTACCAATCATGCATGGACACAATTATGTCCAAACACAAACTAGCATATAGTGCTATGTCTTCACTTCTAATGCTCTAATTCAAGCCAGGTCCAATTATAGTTTAAGCTGGAATGAGATCCTTTAAGTCCTATATGCACATAGAATGATCAAGCATGCATAGGACACTTGTAATCTAAACGTAGATGGAACAATGTGAATTATAAGTACAAGTAAACATGTGTCAAACACACATGATATATCTTGTCTTTACATCGATGAGATTTTTAGCCTAAAAGACTTATGAGCCTATGAATTTTTATATGAAGCATTCCTACTTCAAATCATATTTTTGCTCTCAATTAGTTTTCACAAATTTATCTAAGAGAAGAATAAAATAAATGCAACCTATGAAAACCCTTTTTCTTTTCTTGATTCTTCTTTCTCTTGATTGTAGCATGCTCATGTTGATTTCATTCTTTGTTTCTTCATGCTCACTTCCATTTCTTCGTGTGCAGCATGCTTGAGATAATTTTATTAAGAGTTCTTCATGAACACTCTATGTTCTTATGGTTTTGTCACTTGATTTATTATATTCGATATGCACAAGTAGAAAATACTTTTATGTTAGTTTTTTTATCAAAAAAATACTTAGTTCAACACTTACCATGAAAAGCAATACCACTCTCTTCTTATACTCCCTTCACTATAAAGTAGGGAAGGATTTGAAGAAAATGATGGACCAGTAAGTATCTATTTGCTATAAAGTGTTATTTATCATGTTTAACTAGTAGTCATTGACTTTTTAATTTTGCTGATAGGGTTATGAGGACATACTAGTATGTCGAGATGTGGAAGCACACTCATAACATTAAAGACCTTATGTGGATCACACCAAAGGTAAGAGTATATTTTTTTAGAGATAAACCTACTTGCTTGTTAAAAAATACTCATTTTTATTGTTCTTTTATAGAGTTGTACACATCTAAAGAAATCTCAATTATGTAGCTTGTATGTCAAGAAATGCATTTTCAACATCATCAAGCATGGCATGACTTCATTCACCTAGTAGGAAAATGCATTACTTTGCCTTTTTACTTTGGTTTTTTTTCTTCCTTCAAAATTTACTAATACTTGGGTTTTCCTTTCAAATGTTCAAGCTTACTAAACCATTCCCTAAGGATATTGATGAGGTCAAGCAATAGCGGATTGAGTTTTTTATACAACTTCATATAGGGCAGCACATAGCTTTTTATAAAGTTTTTATAAAGCAATTGTTATAGTTTGATTAGTTTGTTGCAATTGTAAATAGTTTGATTAGGATGTACATAGTTGAGGTTTTATATGAGTTAGATATTTGAAATGGATATTATTTCAATTAATTTATTTATATTAGTTATTCATTTATATTGATTGTACTATATTAGTTGTAACATCCTCAATTTTAAATTAAGATTAATTAAGCTTAAATAGATTAGTAAAGTGTATCTTTGACGTGTATGGTCAGAGAGGCCTAGAGGGTATGTTTGATCTTGATTTTAATTTTAAACATGGGTCCAAAGGAGAATCGAGTCACTTCAGAATAAAAGAGGAAGAATTTCTGAAGGGAGTAATTCTATGCCACGCATCGCGGTGTGGGGTTTAGTCCGCCGTGGCGCATACATGACAACATGTCTAAAAGAAGCTTTTTGTGCCATGCGTCGTGGCGCATTGTGCGTCCGTCGCGACACATGGCTAGAATTTTATAATATTACGTCATGAATTTGAAGTGAAAAAGAAGAGGAAACAAAAGAGAATGAGAGAGTGACGAAAATGCTAATCCAGGGCTTGAAGCAACTGATTATTAGGAGAAATTAGGAGCTCATAAACACCTAAGATAAGCTTCCTTGCTTAAATTTTCCTCTCTTCTTCCATTTTCTTGATGATAGAAGTTAAGGTTTGATTGCCAATGGTGATTTATGGTCCCTAAAAGTTATAGGCCCAAACCTATTGACTTAAATAGAGTTAATGGGGATAGATTGAGCTAAGTAAACTTGATATTTATGATTTTATGATGATTAGTGATTGGAGGACATTAAGTGTCCAAAATTTTCATAAATTTAGTGGTTGCAAATAATGTGGCTACATTAATGCCCATTTAAGAGCTCAATGTTATAAATGAGAGTTATAGGAAGTTAAGAAACCTTATGGGTACTTCTATATGAGTTTAGAGTAAAACTTGAGCATTAAGAAATGATGAGAATGCTAGTGAAAAAATAGCTCAAAATGAATATTGATGTTTTGCATGGTAAATGCTTGTAGTATAACTACCATTGGCACCATTCAAGTTTCTTGGAAGTCAGGAGCGAATAGTTGAGGGGTGAAACCTTTGACCTCTTAAAGGTTTGAGGTAACCGAAAAATTCTATCTTATGCTTATGTGTGACTATTAGTTTATTGATTTATGAATTATCATTTGAAATGTATAAAATAAAAGAAATGCAAGTATGGCTTAATTTGTGAAGAAATCCACTAGATCAAATTTGTGAGTTTTACGCCTTATGATGCAAAATTTTCCTTGAGAACAATAGTGGTAGATTTTCATATTAATGTTCACTGGGAGTGCAATGATTTCTACAAATTGAGAAGCAAAATGAATCTTTATTTAGAAGGAGTTCAATGATGTTTGAAAATAGGAAAGTTCAATGATTTTAAGTGTGAGGTACAATAAAAATAGGAAAGTTCAATGATTTTAAAGGTGTGAGGTACAATGATTGTGAATTGAGAGTTTAATGACTTGTTTGATTTTAAAGTTCCATGAAATGTGTAATGATAAAGTTCAATGAAAGGTGATAATGTAAAGTTCTATAAATTATATATGTGTGAGTTATCACATGAATGTCCATTGCATGATTTAGAGAGGTGGGAGTTCGCCCAGGAAGCAGAGTAGATGATAAATCTATGTGATAAGGCCCTATCCATGTGATGGGTTGCCTAGATTAATTCTATCCATATCGTTCCACTTGTTCAATGAAGGACCATCCTACTGGTTCAATGAGGTACTCGAACCTAGCTAGCTATCTACCGATTCAATGAGGAAGCTAGTCTAGGGTATATGATACTCTATGGTGTGAGAAATGGGGGAAACTGTGATCCATAAGTGAGATGGGTACACCTTAACTGGGTAATCCTCTTACAAGTATTTAGGCTAAGGAAGTCAACAAACATAGACTATCCCATTGAGTTATAGCCCATGGTTTCGTGTTAGAGGAATAGGAGGATATAAAAGAGGTGTGATCATGCATATAGTGAGAAAAGGCCCTTGTTGTCTATATTGTGTCTATAATAGGGATATGTTGAATTGAGTAATAATTTTTGCCATTAGGCTTGTCAATAAATTGTTTGTACAATTTTATTTATATGAAACATGCTAAAAGCATTGTTTTTCCAAGTGAATGCCATTATGTGAGCTAAGTTGTGAATTCTTATTTCAAATGTTTCTTATGGGTTAAAGTAATAATATTTCAGGGAATAGCTCAAGAAGTATGGACGGAGGAAAATACTATGAGGCTTAAGATCACGATCCAATTGCAATAGCCCTTTTTATTTTGGATAATTTATGTATATGATAATTTCGATTGCCAACTAGGATTTTCCTTTTTATTACTTACTCACATTAAGTGAAATATAAATTGTAATGATATTTTAGGCCCTAAGGAGAGAGTTGATTATTATGTATTATGTTGATAGGACCAAAATACTAATGCAAGTGAGAGTAGTGAATATTATGTGATAATTTGGGAAATCTTGATGAAAATTTATGGCAAGTATCCCTACCTATGTTTTTGGGTTAAGGGATTGAGTACTGATAATTTAATCTTGAATCATTTCTTGTGTTATGGCGCATTGTATGAGTTAGTTTTGATGAGTTGTATGTGGTCATATTATTGCTGGTGGCTTTTAGTCTTTGGTTTTGGTTAGGACACTTGAAATTTGTGAAATTTATTGTAATAGTATAAGTTTTGAAAAGGGTTTTGTTTTAAAAAGAATTTGAGCCTGAGACCAATGCCATTAGTTATAGTCTAGAAAGAGCTTTCCGTAGACTCCTAGTTCACGTCATTCGGGCGTCGGATGAAGATTTGGGGCACGTCAGAAGTTGGCCATAATGTTGTCAAATTGACAACAGAATTCACTGTCAAATTCGTGCATCGGCGCCGTGGCACATGGCGTCATGAGCCACAACGCATGTCATAGAGGTGAACAAGCTGCAATGCATATTCAACGAGCCACAGCGCACTCCTTAAAAGTTTTCAAAATTTTTCTTTTTCAAATTTCTGCACCAATGCACTCACCTATGTGATAATCCCTTGCTTCCGCGTATTTATGAACTTTAATTTGCCTCTTTTCAAGACTTGATTTGACTCTAGATTTATAATCTTAGGGCCCCCATTTTGTTAACCAATGAGAATTCTGTATTTGATTATTACTATTGTCTCATTTTCTTAATTACTTGAGATTTGGCTTTTAATTGTGAGATAAAAGGAGGAGGATATTACATTAGACTGGCTAGTTTTTATTTGCAAGTTATATGAAAAATTTCCCAAGAAAATAGGGGGTTCTAAATAAAAAAATGAAAATGTTAAAAAAAGGAGTACTTTCTATATTAGTTACGACATAACTGGTTTAAAAAATTACTTTCTCAATTAGCTATGATTACACAACCAGTTTAAAAGATGATTTTTTTTTTTTTTTGCTATTCTGGGTCAACTTTCTAAATCAGATAAACAATTGGTTTAGAAAAAATAGTTTAGAAAGTCTCAAACTTTTTAAACCAGTTATATCTAAACTACTTTAAAAAAACTTTTCTGTACTAGTGCATGTACAAATATAAACGCTAGAAATAAAAAAATATGTTCAAGATCAATATTATTCTTTTATCATTTGAATGCCTAAATTACATGAGGGATACATTAAATAATATTTTTTAAAAAAGCATATTGCAAGGCTTAACTTTAACCATGAAAAGAATTTAACAAACTGCTTGATGTTGATATAAAGATAATAAGAATAGAGTAAAAACTATGTAAGAGATGCATAAAACAATATTTGTAAAGATTAATACAAAAGTATGACATTATTTTTAGAGTATATGAGCAAATTTTCCCATAAACTACAAGTTCAAAGCTGTCTAGGACAAGGATAGATCCAAAAACAACTCTATGTGGGGTCTAAATACAAAATTACATAATAGTAGGAGGCAAAATTATTTTTAGCATTTTTTACAAGTAAAAATAAAGAAATTTTTTAAAAATTTTGTGACATATGGGGCAAGTAATGGCTTCAATCCATCTTGGTCTAAGACCCTAAACTCATCTTTTATATAATATTTCCTTTTAACTTTTGAAAACAATATAATCTGACCCCTGCCATTAATAAAAGTTAACTTTAATTGTTAATTAACCAAAAACTTTTACAAAAAATGATTGTAAAAATTATAAAAAAATAACCTAAAAAATTTTATTGGTCCTTTTTAGTAATTTGTGGGTTGTTTACTATAATTTTTGTGTCTATTTTTTATAATTCTTAAAATTTTTTTTATCATTTTCTAGTCAATTAATAGGTAAAATTAACTTTGAATTAACAAAAAGGTCAAATTACACCGTTTACACAAAAGATGGTTTTAAAGGTCTAGACATTTCCGAACCTGTTGTTTAAGGGACAATTTGCTCATTTAACCATATATTTATATAAATTAATTACATATACAAAAAATTTTGCTCAAAAAATTACATATATAAAAATAATTATAATTAATATACTAATTTCTCATAAACTTTTTAAAGGGAGAATAACAGAGAGGTCCCTTTTAATTCAAATTAGTCCTAAGCACCAAAATTTAAAAATTTACAAGTTCGACTCTCAATTATACAATTTCATTATATGAATTTGTAACTTTATTGCAAATTTTAATTGAGAAAGTAAATTTATTTCTTCTTCAACCATATCAAAATTAAAAAAATAAGTTATAAATTTATCATAACAAAGTCGAAAAATTGAGAAATGAACTTGCAAATTCCTAAAGTCGAGCATTTAAAATATAATTTAAATTAATTAATCCTCTTAAGACCTATATATCATTCTCCTTTTTATAAAATATCATTTATTATTAATACCATAAAATAATAAGAAATCATGGTTCAATTTCATGCTTAACAATATTTTTATTTTTTATTTTTTTAACTAAGTTTACAAAAAAGTTGAGAAAAATACATCATTTTCTCAAAATTTTTGGAGATAGTCTCTCATGATTCGTCGAGAGAACTTTCTCTCAAAAATTTGTTAAAGAAAAACACATGACGTGCCTCTCATAAATATTTAAAAAAATATTTTTCTTAATTTCTCTCAATAAATTTCAAGAGAAATATTGTATAAAATTATTTAATTTTTTTTGTTTTCTAATTGTTTATTTTTGTCAATATTTTCTCACGAAATTATTTGAGGAAAACATTTCCCACCATAACGTGGTCAAATTCTCTATAAGTTCTCTTGGTTTTCTCTAGAAATTTCTCATTATAATATTGTTCAAGAGAAAGTTCACGTGAGAATTTCTTTCAAGAGATATTCTCTCCAAATTTTTCCCCGAAAGAAAATGTCAAAAAAATCATTGTTTGTTGTAGTCTTGGCTATTCTGTTTGCTTTGTTTTGTCAGATTTGTATTCTTCTTGCTTTGGTTACGTGTGGAACTTAGTGTTCTGTTGGCCAAAAAAATTAACTATATGTTAAAATTTAATAAATTTCTAATTTTGCCCCATTGAATAATATATTTTTTTTCACAAACATTCAATGAAGGGTAAAAAGAGAAACTTATGATAAAAACTCAATGGCATGTCTTTTAAATAAGGTCAAAAAAAAAATTCTCTCTTTACTTTATAAACAGGACCACAAGGAACATTAGATATTAGTTGACACATGCTTTACTTTTCTAATTCAAGCTATACTTTTTATGTTCATTATTACATTATATTTTTAGTTAAAAATTTATAAAATTTTTAAGATGATAGGTTTTAGCGTTAAAATATAAAATAATGTTCAAAGAGAAAATTAAAAGAAAAATTTTATTTATTCACAAGATAGAGACCTGAGATGAGAAAACTTGAAGCATATGTATCCTTGATAGGAATATTAAAATCCACGTAGCTGGAGAATAAAAATGCATGTAATTTGGTTGGCATTTTTAAAAGAAAATATTTTTATTATTTTCAAATGAAATGGCTTTTTGTATTGAGTATGTATTTTTTTAAAATTTATAACAGTGATTTTTTTTTTGAGAAAATAATTTAGAAGGAAAAAAAAATGGCTTTGAAAAAAGCTAGCAAAATTGAGCTTTAAAGGACCTGTGTAAAAAATTATCTGGCAAAATTAGCTTTTAAGAGGCGTGAAGAACATGATTTTGAAAATTGACCTGTGGGACTGGCCTCTAAAGGGACTCGCCTAAGAAGCGTTTCAAAAGAAGCGAATAGAACCAGGCTTTGAGGAGCCATTGATTTCGAAAAAAGCACCAACAGAACAATTGGGCTTGAATGGCCTTCATAATAGGACTTCAAAAAGAAGGCAACGAAATTGGGCTTTAAGAGGACATATGTAACAAGCTTGAAAAGGGGCTCATCGAAACTATAAATGACACTTTTATATTAGTATAATTTTTTGAGCAGATATAGAGAAAATATTTCAAAGCCCATGTGTCTTAGTTGCAGTTAGGCTGCCATGTGTGGCACAGGCAGGTTCAATCCAAGCCCGTAAGCATTTGGCTTGCCCACTCAAAAAAAAAAAATTGTTATTATTATTTATAGTAATTCACTAGCGAAGAACTAAATTTAAATTAAAACACTATAAAGAAATAAGTATATTGAAAAAAATTGTAAAAGAATTTAATGAAAAGAAACTTATTTTATAGAAGATTAGTCTCGTAAAATAATTTTGAAAACTGGATAAAAATTTTCCGCTCGATAAATCACTTTTACAAAATCTTTAAAGCATTTAAAAAATTACTTTTTTTAAACCTAAACAAGCGCCCTCACCTCGCTAACCATAAATGTTCCAGAAAAACAGGCGAAAAACGTGGCACCTTTTCAGTACACGTGGCGAACAGTGCACATCGTGTCAGCAACACAGTGTGCCACCTTCCCTCTAACATGCTGTATGGAAGAGTGGTGGTGATAAAACGATTCAATCTACAAAGTCTTCACATATTCTCTAGATTGATCGGTGAAAGAAGATCAGAAAAACACAGAAATCAGACAACTCCAGAAAATATGGCAGCCATGTTTATCACAAGAACCGTCCTCTTTCGTTTCTCAAAGTCCTTCCCTCTCGCAATCTCTCTCAGATCCCACAAACCCTCAAGAATCGTCTTTGCCTCTTCTTCTTCGAATAACTACTCAAACGTAAACATTCTTCATTTCATCATTCATGTCGATCGAAAACAGTTCAATGTATTGATTTTTTTTTTCTGTATACTGGTTTTGGTTTTGATTTTCAGTACAGAAATACAGCAGAAGGATCAGATGCAAGAGTTTGGTCTTACAATCCAGCGAATGCAAGACGTGAAGAAGACGACAGAGACGCGGTCGATAGGGTAAGAGATGGAGCAGAAGAAGCGAAAGAGAAAGGTAAAGAGTACGCACACGACGCGAAGGAGAAGACGAAGGACATGGCAGAGAAAACCAAGCAATACGCTCATGAAACTAAAGAAGATGCCAAGGATGCTGCAAAATCCATGGCCGATAGAGCCAGAGAAGGAACGAGCAAAGCTTCAGAGAAAACAAAAGAGTACGCTTATGACGCAAAGGACACAGCAAAGGACGCGGCTGATACTGTAGCCGAAAAGACGAAGGAAGGGGCTCACAAGGCGGCGGACACCGCCGGGTACATGAAAGAAAGAGCAAAGGAGAACGCCTCCGGGGCGGCGGAGAAAACTGCGGACATGGCGCAGTCGGCGACGGAGAAGACGGCGGACGCTATGAAGTACGTCGGAGAGAAGGCGAAAGAGACAGTGCAGGGAGCATGGGGGGCGGCGAAGGACACGACGCAGAAGATTAAGGAGACGGTGGTCGGAAAGGATGAGACTAGCAGCGACGACGAGGACGATAAAGGCAGTGGGTTGAAGAACGGGAAGGCCATAGATGAGGATGTTGTGGAACTGAGGAGACAGGCTCGGAAGGGAAATGATGAGAGGAAGGGTTATTAGGGGAAGAAGGATACTTCGTCCTCATGTTTCTTAATTTCTGCAAATAACAAGTTTGGTAATGGTGTCATCAATTTGTCTCCACTGTAATGGGTATTTTGGGCCCACAAAATCCTGTCTGTCAGGAGCATTATGCAAATCCTGCACTCCTGCAAGTATATGTTTTTAAAGTAATTAAAAATAAATTTAACCAATAGAATTTGGTGTAGCAGAAGACAGAAGTAAATAAATTTAGGATCAGAAGTTTGGGGAGAAAAATGCTTAACATCCGATTCTCAGATTCAGGGTGGCCCATCTATAGCGGGTTCGATTTTGGTAGTGATGGTCTAGATTTATAGATTTTTTTTTTATATTTATTATAAAAAATTATAAAATTTTAACAAACTATTTTATTTGATCTGAATGATTTAATTTAATATTAATTTTTTTAAAATATTTTATAAATTGATTATTTAGATTATTTAAATTTACTTTTGATAGACGGGATTTATAGTATTTTAATTTATAAAAAATTTTAAAAAATTAATATCAAATTGGGTCATTTAAATTAAATTTATATTGTCATCTTTATTAAAATTTTATTTTTTATTTTAATAAATATCAAATAAAATATAAAAATAAAACTGGTAAATTTAGACTGTTTAAATTAAAAATATTAAAAATATAAATGTTTTTTTTATTTTTGCCTGAATGATTCGGATTGCTCATCACTTGAGCAGCAAGACTAAACGCATCTATAGCAACATGCTATTCTTTACTCTTCTTTTCAGTTTTCTGAGCGAAAATACTTTTGTTTTCTTTTTCCTTTGTTTTTAATCATCTTTTAACATCGAAGTTGAACTGTGGAGGGGACATTTTATCATTTTATGGTTGATTTTAAAAAATATTTTTATTTATCTAGTCTTTTTTATTCTATATTTTTTCACAATAAATTATATTTATTTCATATTTTATTTTGTTTTTCTTAAACTTTCATAATTTTAATTTTTATACAAGTCAAATATGTTCCCTTTATAATATTTTCATTCTCTTGATTTTCAAAAAAAAAATCAAATTTACAATTTTTTGTTTGTTTTTTATTAATGATATTCAATATGAATCATTAAAAAAGAAAAGGATTACGACTGTATACATGAGAGTCCATCTTGTTTGGGTTTTTTTTTAAATCCCCATACAAGTGCCCAACTCTTTTTTTAAAAAAAAAATGGATTTCTAGTTATGCATGCCTTGTTCGTTTTATGTCTTTTGTGTTTTTTTTTTTTCAAGCCCATAGCCCATAGGCACACTTGTACACATCAACTAAGGGAACATGATATTCGAACTTAAAAAAAAGTTATTTGAACTCTCTTAAACATTAACTAGAGTTAAAGTTGAGGGCAGTAAATTTTAAAATTTTAAATAGGAATTAAAATTTTGTCAGTTAATTCTTTTCAGTTTTCATATTTTATTTTATATTACTCGAACTTAAATCAGGTCAAAGTTCAGTATGAAAAACATTAAATATGTCTATTAAAAGAATCAAAATTCAATATGAATATTGAAAAACGCAGTTAAAAAAATAATTCCAATCAAGAATTTTGATTTTCTAACTGCCATCATAATTACTATTGCTATCAATAAAGGGTTTTCGAATTCATTTTCCATTAATAAATTTGGGTTTAGGAATTGAATGCAAGAAATCAATATTTCACATTTTCCATGTCGGCGACGGTGCATCTGACTCAACAGTTTTCTTTTTCTACTTTTTTGGCTAAATGGCTCAGTTTTTGGTAAGATGGGGTCTTGACACTCATCGGTCCAAATTACACAAATACTTATGAATTGTTTAATAACAAAGTCTCTGCATGGACAATGCAATTTAGATTTGAGAGCTACAAGCAGCACACAATGTGAGAACAATGATCTCAGGTAGGTGCATTGAAGTGAGCTCAAACATGCGACCAACTTTGCGCTCGGTCCTGACAACCTGTCCTGTTTGAAAATACATCGCAGCACAACCACGTTTATTAAATAACATGTTATAACTCATATCAACAAGTTGTTCAATAGAAAGAAGGTTAAAGTTAATGGTAGGAACAAAATATGTATCATGAATGGATAGGGAAGGCAAGGAGACACTACCAATATGAGTAATAGGCATTTGAGAATTACCAGCAGTGTGTATAGGATAGCCAGTAGAGTTAGGTGTCATAGAGGAGGAGAAATTTTCTTGACCTGTCATATGATTGTAGCAAGCAGAGTCAAAATACTAAGTGAATTTATTGGTGATAGTAGATAAGGGCAGCAGATGGGCTAGAGGAACCGGAGATGAATGTGCCCAACAAAGTTTCAAGTTCAATCGGAGAGGATCCTGAAGTAGGCTGAGCAAGATCACATATTTCCAACCAAAGACGGTAATTGCAACCATTCAAAGTAACTAATACAAATTGAGTAATATTTGAATTTTTTATTTTTTTAAAGGAAAAAAAAGGTTCATGAAAGAGAATGAAGGATTAAAAATATCTAAACCAAAGATTGTAGTGCGAATGGCATAGTGCTCACACTAGAAAACTAGTCAACGATCTAACCATTCACAATGATGTGTTGGATGTTCTTTACTTGCTGACCAAATTTCAGCATGATCCAACAGTTAACGCATTTGAAAATGTTGATTTACTAAAGCTGCCTGTGGATATGCGAAAATAAATTTAAGATAGATATGAACTTGTGATGAAAGATGATAACACTGCTGCAAAAGAAAGCTAAACGCTCTTCAAAACCTGACTTATTGTGGGAAAAAAATATTATATGGCTCTAGTACCATGAAAGCTATTAGAGACAAGAAGAGAAACTAGAGAATGATTGAAAAATGTAGTATTCATTATTGAGATGAAGGTTACATTATACACACAAAGAATAGAAAATACAATAATAACTAATAACTATATAATAATATCAAATAATATCTCCTAATAATAATTGAAATATATATACAATAATAATAAAAGATATCTGGATAATATTTTAGATAACAAGATTGACAATTTATATGTTATAATTTAATTTTTATTAATTGAACTAATCTTTATTAGTTAAATTACTTATAATTTTAATAACTTTTTAATAAAAGACTATGGAGAAAACCGTGCAAGAGAATTATAAACTAAATCATGTTAGAATACAAAAAGTTTTTGTACCTAAGTGGTGAAACGTCAAAAATCTTAACATTAAATTAACATTTGAAAGTCTAGCGCATTAGTCAATCAGCGGCTTCTTTAAAGTTTAAACACATGATCTAATTTTCTAATTTTTTCTTTTTAGAGATTTAAGCAAGTGGATGATTGCCAGTAAACTCATGTTAAATAAGTGTGACAATTTCTAGGGAGTTAGAGTAAACTTGTCTGTTTCAGCAAATGTTGTCAAACATAACGCAGCAGTATACTGGAATGATAATCATGATATTTGACCAAAAAAAAAATTATTCAATTGTCTTTATCATTACGGATGGAGTCACAGCATCTTGCAGCATTTAGCCATACGATTGTATGGTATTTGAGTCATGCTATTGAAATTGATTCTTACTTTTATATATATATATATATATATATATATTTTTAATCTTTTAATTTTATATAAGATTTTTATTTTAATTTAATCATTTAATTTTTATAAAATATTATTTTAATTTTTTTAATCCTAACACTGTTAGTTTCAAATAATTTTTTTTGTGTGCCAATCATTATTATTTTAAAAATATTAAACTTAATATATCAACATTTAAAAATATATTATTAATATTTAAAAATTTAATATAAAAATTTGTTAAGATAACTAACGATATTAGGATTATAAAATTAAAAAAACATTTGATAAAGTTAAAAAATTAAAATAAAATTTTATGTAACATTAAATATGTACTTTAACACAGACACACAAAAAATTGATTTATTGACGTCGAACGAGTTCAATTGCGAAGGCGATCCCATTGACATTGGATATATTCAAATGGGCCTAGCCCAGTTACTTGGGCGTACATCCTGTTAAGTTTGAATGTGGTTAAACCAAAAAATGCCAAAATAATAATAATAATAATAATAACGTATGAAGCATGATACGTGCCAGGCACACCTTTGCTGGGTCCCACGCGTCCGCGAAAGCGATGAGCTTGTGGGAGCAGTTGCAACCTCTAACGACTCTGGCCCTGCAACGTCATCACGTGACTTGGGCACGTGCTCTTTCCCTCCTTCCTTCAATGCCAAATTGCCAATATCAGACTTAGTACTCAGTTTTTGTTTTGTGGTTCGGATTCGACCCCGTCATCATTAGGTAAATGAATACTGATATGGCCACCATCTTCAATTAAATGTCCAAAATATCCTCAACAAAGGATCATTTTCCAAAGCAATCCCAATCAAATTAGCCCAAACCCAATTGCTCGTTGGTTGTTGGAAATGTGTCTCTTTTTGTCGGACCCATGCTTACAAGTAATTAAAAAAAATTATTTTTTTAGCAATCCATGAAATTGTAAATTTGAGTTTTATCTATTGGTGACTTAATAAATAGAGCAACATGCCATACATATTATTCTAAACATATATTGATATTGTTGATATTAATATTTTAACGATGATAAAAAGCGACAGATTAAAGTACCATACTAAATATCAAATTATGGAAAAAAATACTAAATACCTAATTATCAACTCAACATGGATAGTCACTTTAAGATTTTAAGAAACTATACATTCAGGCTATGATTGAACCATAGTTTCCAGCAAAGCAACTAATTCACAGAGATTAAAAAAAATTAATTAAGTTAGTTAATTTTTTGTAAAACAAAATGTATGTTAATTTTCCTAAAATACCATCTTTAATTATTTACATCAAAAACTATTCTATTGATAAAGACCACCAACTTTAATATGTGTAATTGATGATGATAGTTTGAAGAAATGAATAAATTTGTGAAATAAAGTATACTGGGGTCTTATATTTAATATCAAAACAAGCACTTCAACTAATAACTGCTACATTTAGGATTAGAGGGAGTATTTAATTACATATTCATCACATAACTATTTTCACCTAGAATATTTGGAGTTCTTAGTGGTAACGATTATCTAAGGTGTTTCAAACACCATTTACTAATTAGGTACAAGGTTTTGCTTTGATTAGGTTTGTAAAGGAGACCATGTACAAGCTTCGGAATATCTTATATAT